GGGAGGTCGTGAGGATGGTGCCAGCTAGGGCCAGGCTCAGCTCTGTTGTTCACAGGGTCACTACGAGCCCTACTGGGCTTGAAGGCACTTAGCAACAACTACAACAACAAATGCGTGTCAGTGCTTTACAATAAATAAAGGGACTGAAGAAGGAGGACGCAATGGAGTTATGGTTACACTTCTGGTCAGTGGCAAGCTCAGGCTAGGAGCCAGGTGATGTCTCTCCTCCCTCCAGGCTGTCAGCAGTTCCTGCCTCTGCTTTGCTCATTCTCTCCTCCTGTTCCCCACCTCACCCTTTCATGCAGCTTCTGTCAACATTCCTCTCTCTTTCTGCCTCCGTCCCTGTGTTTCTGGGTATTCATCTGTCTGTCCCTCTCTGGTTATTATTATTGGTCTCCTTCAGGCTGGTGATGACAATTGAGAAAAGCCCGCTCCTTTCTCAGTGTCCGCACAATGACATATTCAGCCCTCATGGCACCCAGGTCAGTGCTAAGGGACTTCTGTTTGTTCCCTTATTTTCTTTTCTGAGTCAGCCCAGGCTTGGAGAGGTCTCATACAAGAGGCTGCAGACACTTAGGATCAGTGTAAAATTTCCTCATATGTGAAAAAAGGCTTCAGCCAGGTTTCCAATCAGTCTGACGGCTCTAAAGAACAAATTTTTCTTTGTGATGCTGTTTCTGCCTGCTGCATATTTAATGGGTGCAGGGATAAAGGTGGGATCATGGTGACTATTTCAGAGAAGGGCAAGTCAAGACTGAGTATGCAGACAGGAGGACTGACAGCCTGTGTCTCTTGCAGGAGTGATCGGTCAGGAGGAGCTACAGGTGGCTCAGCCTGGGACGGTGTCCGTCAAAGCTGGAGAGACGGTCAATCTGTCATGTGTCCTCTCCTCTCCTTTGCCCGTGGGGCCCATCCAGTGGTTCAGGGGAGCAGGACCCGATCAGCAGTTAGTCTACAATTTCAGAGCAGGCCTGGACCACATACACCTCTTCCCCCGAGTGAGAAGCCTTACAGATCAAACAAAACAAGGGAACCTGGACTATTCCATCAGCATCAGTAACATCACCCCAGCCGACACCGGCACCTACTTCTGTGTGAAGTTCAGGAAAGGAAGCCCTGATGTGGAGTATAAGTCAGGTCCCGGGACCCGGGTGACTGTGAGTGGTGAGTATAGTGTGGTGACCTGCCCTGTTGTGTGACAGCAGCTCAGTACTGACCCCTCTGTTCTCTAAGCAAGCACTCAGTATCAGGGGTGATGAGGGTTTTGTCTTCATGGCCTCTCACCCCTTTTCCCAGATCAGGGAGCTTGAGGTCTAGAAGTCATGCTTTTTGCTCAAGGCCCCACAGCTGGTAAAAAGTGGAGAAAATTCTAGAAACCCCATAGGTCTGACTTCTTGTGCCACCTGGTTCCCCTGGATGTGGAAGCTGAGAAGTCTGGGCACATCCAGTCACAGGGCAAACACCACCCCATCCCCAGATTTTCACCCCAGCACAGCTGTGTTTTTCTTCCTCCACACACACACACACCTGCTGAGGGCCCACTGTGCACAGCTCTGCTGAGGGCCCACTGTGTGCAGTTCTGCCGAGGGCCCACTGTGTGCAGCTCTGCCCTGCTCTTTGGAAACAGCAGTTAGCGGTGAGCAGAATCTCTCTCCGTGAACTTCAATTCTTTTCCTTCTAACACAGAATGGATCTGGCCAGGGCAGAGGTGGGTGCGCATTTGTACTGATATTTCAGAAACAGCATACTGAACAGAGGGTCCTCAGAGGCAGTTTCCCTGTTGGACCTGGGAGCCCTGGCTGGGAGATGTGGAGAGGGCTGGTGTTGCTGTGAGCTCTGTGAGGGAACCCCATGTGACTCAGGACCCATGCCCTCTGAGACCAGAAGGCTTCAAGTCAGACCTGGTCATCTCAGAATGTCCTCACCTCAGAGACTAACCTCCCAAGTGTTGACTCAGGAACCACTTGGTCCAGGGAGCTAAGAAGATCCTTTAAAAAGAATAAAATTTTAATTGTGATCTTAATGAACATTTACAGAAAAGTTAGATTTTCATTCATTCAATATTGCACAGTTTACCCCCTAACTTGCTCTTCCCCCTCCCCCAGTTCACTTAAAAAAAATTCTCATTCATTGTTGCACAATTACCTACCTCCCCCCACCACCAGTTCTCTTTGCAATGATATATCCCTTATTCTGGAATGTTGTCATAAGTATAATGACTAATCATATATTCATTTTGTTGAATTCCAAAAACCATCTCAGGAACAGGTTTGAGGCCTTGAACACTGATGAGGGAAGACCAGATGAATTATGGGAGGATATCAAGAATATCATCCAGGAAGAAAGCAAAATGTCATTGCAAAGACAGAGGAGGAAGAAAAGACCAAAATGGATGTCAGAAGAGACTTTGAATATTGCACTAATGCGCCGAGAAGTCAAAGCAGAGGGAAGAAATCAAGATATTAAGAAACTGAACAGAAGATTTCAAAGGGCAGCTTGGGAAGAAAAAATAAATTATTATAATGAAATGTGCAAAAACCTGGAGTCAGAAAATCAAAGGGGCCAAACACACTCAGCATTTCTTAAGTTCAAGGAACTGAAGAACTCAAGCCTCGAGTTGCAATACTTACGGCAAAATGTCAAAGATCCAGATAGTATTAAAAGAAGATGACCCCCCCATCAGGTCCTCATGGCTGACAGGACTGACAGGCCCCAGTTCCCAGCTGGAAACCAAGGAGGACACTTCAA